CCCCCCCCCCCCCCCCCCCCCACCCCCATCGTCCTCTGCTCATTGTGGTGAAAGAGGGCAGATGTAAAGCTCTGTTGTCAGACTGTTGGCGTGGAAGAAACGAATTAGAGTAGAAAATGACGTCTCCTGTCACTGCATACAGAAACACTCCATTTGATTAACTGAGCAATGCAACACAGATGCCCGGAAGATGGACCGACTTCTACAATTAGCCACAAACGAGCGTACTAAACAGAAAATTAACTACATTGTAAAAAAAAAGGAAAAATCACTGTAAGACTTACTGCCAACTTTGGTGGTAAAATTTACAAGCACAATGTAAATAAATGATAACAATATGCTGTATGTTTTAAATTTGCCATTTTAATTATTAATTGACTATACATTTACTGTAATTTTTAATTTACAGTTGTAATTAACAATTTACAATGCACTTGTGAATTTAAAGTCTTACTGGCAAACAAAATTGCTACTAAGTAACTGTAAAATTTTACAGTTGACTTTAATTTTTAATCTACAGTGTGCTTGTAAATGTACAGTCTAATAGTGCGTTCACACCGAAAGCGGCGAGAGCGTCCAAGGTCACTCTGGCCGCCCTGCCGACAACGCTGTCTGCCTTCAGCTCCGGCAGCGAGAGCGTCAAAATTCGCTACATCGATCTCGTATTTAAACGAGCCGTGAAAATGTTGCGCACTTCTTATCAAATTCATTCAACAATGGAAGATCAAGTTGCATGTGGTGTGGCTTTCCTCCACTTAATTTTCCAATGAGTCCATATGTCTGAAATATCCTGAAGCAGCAATACTGTTTTGTACTGTCGCATACGATTCCCTCTTTTTTAAAGATAAATATATATAACATTGATGCATTTCAGTAGCTCGCCAGTAACTTATTTAATGCATAATCGTGTATGAAAACATTGTAAATAATTGAAAATCTGGTGACCGCAATAATCAAACCCTTGGGAACAACTGTGGTCGGAACCAAAGTTTACAGTGACTGTGTTCTCTGAACTCCTCTCAAGCGGTGGACTTCTTCATTCTGATTGCTTGCTGTCGAACCGTGTCATAGCTCATTACCATAAAGTTGACTTGATATCAACTGTCCTCAATGCCCACACCCACGAAGACGTGCCGCGCTGCTCCTCGCCGCTTTTCGCCGCCGTCTATCATTGAAAATGAATGACTTCCGGCTACTTTGACGCTCTCGCCGCTTTCGGTGTGAACGTACGGTTATTGACAACCAGTAAGTTGCCAGTAAGTTACTGTATATTTTACAGTAAGTTAAAAAAATTACAATTGTAATTATTAATTTACAGTGTGTTTGTAAATTTGCAGTCTTACTGGAAACCAAAATTGCCAGTAAGTCACTGTAAATTTGACAGTCATTTGTAATTTTTAATTTACAGCGCGCTCGTAAATTTAGTCTTACTGGCAACCAAAACTGCCAGTAAGTTTACTGTAAATTTTACAGTAAATTGTATTTTTTTATTTACAGTGTGTTTGTAAATGTAGTGTAACTGGAAACAAAAATTGCCAGTAAGTCACTGTAAATTTGACAGTTGATTGTAATTTTAAATGTTCAGCGCGCTTGTAAATGTAGTCTAACTGGCAACCAAAATTGCCAGTAAGCTACTGTAAATTTTACAGTAAGTTGCAATTTTTAACTTGAAAAATGTACAATTGTAATTATTAATTTACATTGTACTTCTAAATTTGCAGTCTTACTGACAACTAAAATTGCCAGTAGTTTACTGTAAGTTTACAGTAAATTGTAATTTTTTTTATTTACAGTACGTTTGCAAATTTGCAATCTCACTGGCAACCAAAATTGCCAGTAAGTCACTGTAAATTTTACAGTTGATTGTAATTTTGAATTTACAGTGCGCTTGTAAATTTGCAGTCTCACTGGCAACCAAAATTGCCAGTAACAAACTGTAAATTTTACAGAAAGTTGCAAACTTTAACTTACAAAAACATACAAATGTAATTATTAAATTACAGTGTACTTGTAAATTTAGTCTTACTGGCAACCAAAATCACCAGTGGGTTACTGTAAATTTAATAGTAAACTGTCATTTATTTTATTTACAATGTGCTTGTAAATATACAGTTTTACTGGCAACCAAAATTGCCAATAAGATACTGTAAATTTTAAGGAAAATTGTAATTTTTAATTTACAATGTGAATGTAAATTGACAGATATACAGTCTTACTGGCAACCAAAATTGCCAGTAGGTACTGTAAACTTTACAGTAAATTGTCGTTTTTAATTAACAGTGTGATTGTAAAAATTACAGTCTTCCTGGCAACCAAAATCCCATTAAGTTACTGTAAATATGACAGTAAATTGTATTTTTGTACGTACAGTGTGCTTGTAAATGTACAATCTTACTGGCAACCAAAATGATCAGTAAGTTACAGTAAATTTTACAATAATTTACATTTTTAATTTACAATTATAATTATAAATTTACAGTGTGCTTGTAATGTACAGCCCGACTGGCAACCTAAATTACTAGTATGTTACTGTAAATTTGACAGAAAATTGTAATTATTAATTTACAGTTTGTTTGTAAATGTACAGTCTTGCTGGCAACCAAAATGGCCAATAGGTTACTGTAAATTTTACAGTATGTTTTTACAGTGTCCACATTGACTGGATTTTAATGTAAATTGCACTGGGAGTACTAAACATTTTAATAATTGTTCCTTATGTATATAAAAAGCTAAATAAAAGTATTCATTAAAAAACAAATAATAGATAATAATTTACCATATTTAGATTTGCTTTTTTTGCATTGTTTTGTATCTCGCACACAATTCAACTACAGTAGATTAAACAAATCTGGACCATATGGAGTCGTACAGATGAGACAAAACTTAAATCTGCTTTCCATAAAGTCGTGGAGGCGACACTAACAGTGCCGTGCATTACACTTAAACTCTCTCTCTCTCTCTCTCTCTCTCTCTCTCTCTTTATCCCATCTGTGAGGTGAAGCACATCATCATTTGACCGACTGAACGGAAATAATCTTGCTGCTGCTGCAAAATTGAAATCATTTTGTAGCTTGAAAACCTTTAAAGTGAAATACTGTTTTAAATATATTTCCCTTTTACATCACCCACAAAAAACTGCATATATTAAATACTAGTAAATCTTCAACGTGCCAAAGGTGCAATGCATCTAAATGGAAATTTACAACATATGCTTTGGAATTGTCCTCCATGTGATTTGGTGAATATATTGACCTTATTCTAAAATGCGGAAGTGCGCCTGTTTTTGCGATTGTTTTAGAACTTCTGATTCAGTCACCTATTGAGAAATTTATTAGGAATAATAAACGGCAAAAAACGATCAAACTGCTTGCTCTACAAACAAATGTTTGCATGACTATACAGACCAAGTAGAATAATATAATAAGGAAATATCCGTTTGCAACATCAAACAGCGAAACGAGCAGTTTTTAATGTCTAAAAATGAATGGAAGTGAATGAGACCGGAAGTCTCGAGAAAGATTCAAATGGCTGCGCCCGCTCGTTGGCGAAGAATAAGGTGAGTAGTGGACATATAATCAAAAATTATAGGTATCATGGTCCTAGAATGATCCTAGAAGGATTTGGGAACACTGAACTAGTAGACTCATCTCCTAATATTCATTATTACGTATTATAAAATGTATATTAATTAACTGGAAATCATCTCACTCTCCATTTACAAAGCAAAAGATCCACCAACTTATTTCTAGTGGGGAAATCCTGTTCACCAAAGACTTATGAAAAATTCTGGGGCTCTTTTTCTGGAGTATCTACCTTCCATTTCTTAATTTTTATGTTTTTTTTCTATGATATTGAGTTTTGTTTTGTTTGTTTGCTTTTTGGTAAAATAAAAATAAATGTTTTTAATGTTTTGTACAACATGATTTTTACATATTGATGGTTTTGCATATACAGTTCAAGTCAGAAATGTTAGCCCCCTTTGAATTTTTTTTTTTTATATATATATTTCCTAAATGATGTTTAACAGAGCAAGGAAATTTTCACAGTTTGTCTGATAATGTTTTTTCTTCTGGAGAAAGTCTTATTGGTTTTATTTCGGCTAGAATAAAAGCAGCTTTTAATTTTTTTAAAACAATTTTAAGGTCAATTTGATTAGCCCCTTTAAGCTTTATTTTTCGATAGTCTACAGATCAAACCATCGTTAAACAATAACTTGCCTAATTACTCTAACCTGCCTAGTTAATCTAATTAACCTAGTTAAGCCTTTAAATGTCACTTTAAGCTGTATAGAAGTGTATTGAAAAATATATAGTCAAATATTATTTACTGTCATCATGGCAAAGATAAAATAAATCAGTTATTAGAGATGAGTTATTAAAACTATTGTGTTTAGAAATGTGTTGAAATCTGCTCTGTGTTAAACAGAAATTGGGAAAAAAAATAAACAGGGGGGCTAATAATTCTGACTTCAACTGTATCCAAAAAATAAAATAATATAATATAACAAGAATTACTAATAAATACTAATAAAATAAAATTTTTCATTAATTATTGAACATTATTTCATCAAACAATTAAATTGTTTCATGAAAATTCATTTAAAGATTTAAAATACACTGCAAAAAATGCTTTTCTTACTTAGATTTTTTGTCTTGTTTCTAGTCCAAATATCTACAAATTCTTAAATCAAGAAGCATTTTCTAGACAAGCAAAACATATTGTCTTGTTTTCAGAAATAATAGGCCAAAATAAAGTGAGTTCCTTAAATTAACCAAAATAATCTGCCAATGGGGTGAGCAAAATACTCTTGTTTTTCGATTTGTGATAAGATTATTTAGCTCACCCCATTGGCAGATTATTTTAGATATTTGGACTAGAAACAGAAGTAAGAAAAGCATTTTTTGCAGTGTAGACATTTTACTCGCATCTGTCAATTTAAATTGAAGCATACACAGAAACATATCAGAGATGTGCATGATGTTGTGTGTGTGTTCACCAACCTTCAGCTTGTTCTCCTTCTCCTTTGTGACCTTGGTGAGCAGTTTGGCCTTCTGCCGAGTGAGTGCTTCAATCAGAGAGTCACACTGAGCGACCAGACATGCCTCAAACTCAACCCCGTTCTCCTGTTACACACACACACACGTTCAATCAGTCAGTCTGAAGAATGTTACCCAAAAACACAGTATATACAATATTTCTCAATCTTCTTATGGTTTGGCTTTTGATGTTTCAAAGTAAAGTTTATTCGTAAACAAATTTCGAAAGAATCATGTGCTTATGATTTATCACGGCTGATCTCGCGTTACTAATCACGATCTCCCGATCATTTGACTCCCCTATAAATAACCACAGTTTCAGTCCACAGTTATCCTCGTATGGTAGAACCACCCCCCATACCCCCCCCCCCTCCTCTTTTCTGCAGATTGGGCGGCACGGCGGCCCAGTGATTAGCACTGTTGCCCCACAACAAGAACACGGCCAGATCTGGTCCTCGCCCGGCTTTTACTTTTGATGAAGGTGATAAAGCTGAAGTGAGTGAGTAAATGAGTGAGGACCAAACTGTGTGTCAATGGACAAAGATGCATTCGTAGGTATTTGTGTAGTTATAACCTCTTCTAGAAACTAGATAAACTAAATTGGCCGCAGTGTGTGAATGGGAGAGAGTATGAGGCCCCGTTTACACTAATGCATTTTAGTTTGAAAACGCATAAGTTTTGCTACGGTTACGCCATCCGTCCACACTACGCCGGAGTTCTCGAGCGCCGAAAACGGAGCGTTTTGAAAACGCTGGAGAGGCCGTTTTCATTCTAAAACGCTGCTGCTCCGTCTCAATGTGGATGGGGAAAGACGGAGACATCTGAAAACGGAGGTGGGGCTGCAAATGTTCGCCTCTCTGATTGGGGCTTTTCCTCAATATTAAGTAGCCCACACACAGTTCAGTCTCGCATCCTCTTCTTGTAAGTTAAGACTTCGCAAGTTTGATCAAGGCTGCAGTCTCCCCCTTCTCAGTTTGATATGGAAAACATACCGAGGACACGGGTAAATCTTCAAAGGGAACAGTGTACTTTATAACTTCATTCACATCACCTTGGCTACGTTGTTTCACTTTCTCAACAATAAAATGTAAACATGATTTAAGGAACTGCCTATTTTCATTTTAATATTAGCAACTTAACAGACAGCAGACATGTTGAGGCGTCGTGCTGCATATATGAGCGTCATCTTCACTGTTTGGATATTTATAACAAAACGGAGCCGATAACAACTGCCTCCTTTCAATTTCAGTGAAAATACGAAACACACCCTCTCTTTTGCTGAATATCAGTTTTAATAATCGATAATTATAAAAGTATAACATACAATAAGTTTATACATTGTAGGAAATAAAGGCAAGCGATCAGTCAATATACCTGGATTAATCATTAACTTATCTTTGCGCTTAACCAAAACATGTTACCCGTGAACAAGTAACTTAATAGATTCCAATGACCAAAGTCAGGGAATTGGCCTATGTCGTTAGATAAAGACAACAACATCAATGAAATATCACGTTTAGCAAATATAGTGAGATTAGATCCAGCGCGGAGATGCTTGATGAGCAGTCCAACATGCAGAGCTCTCATCTGGGTAGAAATGCTGGAGCGCTTGCCCAAGAGTGTGTGTGTGGTCACGTGATGTGCGTTTTCAGCGTTTTGGTGTGGACGGAGAGCAGTTCAGAAACGCTGGGTAAAACGCGAGTGTGGACGCGGATCGTTTTCATTCTACAACGCCGTTTTAAAACTAAAACGCACTAGTGTAAACGGGGCCTGAGTGTACAACCCTCAGAGCTGGATTGTAGATAAAAGCTGGGTCAAACAATTCCCAAAGTCATTGGCGGTTCTCAAATTTGGCTCAACCAGGGAGTTTGTTGTTGTTTCTGTTTGCGCAAACAATCGAATATCAAAACCTATCATTTGGACTCTATTTGACGTCCCTAGAGCCCGCAAATGACGAACTTCAGCATCATTCCGTAATGCATTCTGCAAAGCTGGCAGAGCTCAGTCTGAGAGTGTCTGTGGTGTAGGAGTTCAGAACGGAACTAATCGTTCATTCACTTTGAGTTGGGTTGTGACTCAGACGTGAGACACACACCCACACACTGACACCAGGGCTGATGGGACTGAGTCACTTCATCTACAAACCGCCATGATGAAGAGACGTTTGATATGAGTACGTGTGACTGGTACATTTTAAAATGAGAGTTCTGGCTGTAGTCCTTCTGCAGGACCAGCAGAGCACTGCATTGTTATGTGTTTGTCGCTTTACATTGGAAATCACTGCTCACTACAGCACTTCAGCGCAAAGTCTACTTACAGAGGCTTTTAAAGACAATCTCTCTCTCTCGATTTCTGCCTACTGGGCAGTATGAAAAAGCATTCAACTTTCCACTTGAGTAAAAATAGCCCAGAGCTCATAATCCAGTGATCTCCAGGCAGAATCCAAACACTAGACAATAGGGCTTAGCGAAATGGCAAAAACATTATCATGATAATTTTTTTCATATCAGTCGATATCGATAATTATCATGATCAATACTGATGTATGAGATGTGTTTCATTTGCACTATGGCTAACATAAACAGAAGTCTTCATTAAGCTCTCTCTTTATCAGCTAATAAACATTATTTTAACATTACACTTTCAGGCCCATAGCCAGCTTATTGAAAGGGATGGTTATTTTTTTTAACAAAACTGAACCTTTTTGCAGTTATTTGCCTGATTTTCTATTTAATTATGGGGTTTAAAATGAATAAAAATATTAAATATAAAAAAAATTATTAATTAAATAAATATTGCATTTTAGGGGAATTTTAAGAACTAATTTTTGCTGGATTAGCTTGTCGGATGGTTATCATAACCACACTTTTTGATGTACCAAAAAATATTTCCTGAGCATGCAGTTTTAAGTTAATGTTAAATTTGTTTATTTACAAATGTGCATTTAAACTGTAAGTTTTATATTACAGTTTTATAATTATGGAAAATTTGAATAAAAAATAATGAAGAGATATTTAATTTTAAAATACAAATTTATTATCATCTATCATTACATTTTTAATTTTTTAGAAATCTGTTAAAAACTTGTTTTAAATTAAAAATTGAAGCCTTTAGGCAAATGAAAAAAAAATAAATAAAACTGGCCAGCACATTCAACTTTGCTCAGTCAGAATTTGAAAAATGTAAAAAAAAAAAATATCCAAATAATCAAACTTTTGGTCTTTCAAACCACCCGCACCATATAATAAATAGTCAGGCCCATAGCCAAAGGGGGTGCAGGTGGATGTATATATATACTTCTTCCCGCAAGTAAATATTCAATCACTATGCTCTAAAGTTAGGGGGCGCTTAACCATCACTGGAAATGACTCAATAATCTTTTATCTCGATTAATGCTTTTTCATAATCGTTTGAAGTCGAAATCAAATTTTCAATGAATTACACAGCCCTAGTAAACATTATCGAACACTTATCGAGCTGTCATTATTGTTTTATTGAAAAAACATATATCGTGATAAATATCGCTAGCGAATTATCGCCCAGCCCTACTAGACAATGTCATGCATGTTTGGACTGTGTGCAAATTTTCATTCGTGAACATAGAGGAATGCAAACTTGCACTCCTGTTTCAAGTATAAAGTAAGACTTTATGTGCATTATACTCTATAAGCATTAAAAACTTGTTTACAAGATTTGCAGACTCCTGAAGGTTGATGGAACCATGCATGAAAGCCTTGACTTAAGATAATCAAAGCATTTGATATGCAATGCAAAAACATGCTAACAAAATTAATGCTAACATCTGACATGTTTGCTGGATGCATGCTGAACATCTTAATTACCCCACTTGGCGTTTAACGAGATGTTCGTTTGCATATTTAATGAGACACTCTTAAATCAAAGATGCTAATATTCAAGTGCTGCTAGCATGGCTGCTTTGATTAAGTTCTTTTAGCGTGTTCAAAACACAGAGATGCTTATTATATGCAACTGGAAGGAAGCCGTTCAGAACTTCCAACCTATGTGTAAACAATCAATATTTCATGAGTTAACACAATTTGCATATTTCTACATGTCATGATGTGTGCGTTGAAGAGTTGTGTACCTGTATCTGCTGGAGCAGATTTTTGAGCTGCACCAGGAACTCCTTGGCCTCCTTGGCTTTGTCTGAAACTCCGTTCAGTGCCTGGGACAGCTGACACTGCACACATAAACACAGCTCAGTCAATTCATTTGTTTAAGCTGTGAGTAAATACGTTGTATAATGTCAATCAGTGTAATTAAAACATTTGTATATTCATGTTTGTTACAAACCTCTGATGTTATGCTAGGGGATGGTGGGGTTTGACATTTAGGTTTTTAAAATATATTTATATAAACAGTCAATAAGTGCAAAAGACAACCAAAGTAATACCAAAAATATGTGCTTTTATTTACGATTCCCAAAAGTGAACAAAAACAACGAAATGATCCAAAATAGAGAAAAAGTAAGTAAAGCAAAAATATACTATATAAAATATATATACACCAAGACGAATACAAAGACGGAGAAAAAAGCAGGAGAGCTGGCAGAAAGGACGCGGGCGGCGCTAAAGAAATGAAAAAGAACAAAACCCAAACTAAATCTAACTTCCCAGAAGCATCTAGCTAACTAACTATGTGAAAACAATATGATTAGCACGCGAAGAGTCTTCCGAGTCCTGACTGTCTACTCTATCTATCTATCCAAAAAGTACAAGGGGTGGCGCTCGCCCCTAACCTAATGTACTAAACAGCAGAGTAGTCGGATAACGTGCACACAGAAACGAACAACAACGAAATTCGAAGTTATTGACACAGTTATTTAAAGCCGATTAAATAGTATAGTCCATTAGTATTTAACGCATTAATCACATTTAATCATTTATAAATGCACACTAGACACCCTATTTACATCTATAAACGATCTAGTGTTGCACGTGTTCCACTGCTGTTGAGTATTGTAAGCATTATTAAGTCTGGCCAAACATTTAAAAGCATTTCCAATCAATACCAAACATTCTGCACAACCTAAAATAGAAACCATTATCTAGAGTCCAGATCTGACCTAACATTACCTGGCAACCTCAAATTCCCTCCATTCTTTAACATACGGTAAGCATTGGCCAATCAGAAGCCATTCCAAAATAGTATAGTAATTTTGATTCATTAAAATAACCACACAATTAGAGCCACTTCCCAAGAGATCTAGCATTATCCAGCATCCCAAAAAAATCTATTTCAAAATCCACCAAAGCTTACATTGTTTATAATCCTCCAACAATAATTACACACCATCAACAACACCCTCAAGGCCATTCGATATTCATATTCTCAGACTCCATCCTCCAATGATGTGCACCCAGTGGCCTCATGGGACACCAATTCATCCCAAACATCATATTTCAGACATCTTTAAATACCACTCAACGTTTCTGACTTCCTTAAAGTCCTCCTTTTATTCCCAAAGCCCTTAAATACCACTCATTATTACCAGCATCCTCAAATAGACCCATTTGTTGAGCATACTTAAACGGCATGCAACATTCCTACTGTGCCGTGTTTATTTTTTCCCCAATTCTGTTCAACACATTTTCAATCATAATAGTTTTAATAACTCATCTCTAATAACTGATCTATTTTATCTTTGCCATGATGACTGTAAATAATATTTTACTAGATATTTTTCCAGACACTTCTATACAGCTTAAAGTGACATTTAAAGGCTTAACTAGGGTAATTGGGTTAACTAGGCAGGTTAGGGTAACTAGGCAAGTTATTGTATAATGATGGTTTGTTCTGTAGACTATCGAAAAAAAAAAAAGCTTAAAGGGGCTAATAATTTTGACCCTAAAATGACCCTTACAAAATTACAAACTGCTTTTATTCTAGCCGAAATAAAACATATAAGACTTTCTCTAGAAGAAAAAACATTATCAGACACACTGTGAAAATTTCCTTGCTCTGTTAAACATCATAATATTTAATAAGGAACAAAAAATCTAAAGGGGGTGAATATTTCTGTCTTTAACTGTAGCGGACCGTTTATGTGCTATGGGTAAATTGCCTTTCAATATGGCTACCACCATTAGGCCCGGATTGGCTAATCAGGAGGACCGGGAGAATTCCCGGTGGGCCGTTTCGTTTTTTGTCCACGAGGGCCAGTGTCCCTAGCTGCTTGCACTCTCAGCAGTCGCATTTTTTTATTTATTTATTTATTTATTTATTTATTTATTTATTTATTTTTTTGACCATAGCTTCATTCTTTTTATTCATTATTTTGCCACAGCTCTGCTTTTTATTTAATTTCTCACAGCCCCGTGAGCAAAATGCAGCCTGCTGGTTAATGATGACGTAACTATCATTCAACCCCAAACAGCGACACCTTAGTGAAAATACAGTTTGACGGTTGACGGTTTTGATGGATGGAGGAGGTCAATAGTGGCTATGTCCTATACCCCCAATAGATTTGACTGTATATTGATTTACATGTGTTTTCTCTAATATTTACAGTATTTATTACTTTTGTCTGTTTTTTTATATACAGTATTTCAGTTTTCAGCCACAGTTTGAATAATGTCATGAATTCAATATAACTTTAATCAAAGCACATCTCATTCTGGATCCAATTCTTTGCCAAAAGGCAAATTTTACAGCCCAAATAGAAAGACAACAAAATGGCATTGGCAATAGGCTACAATGACAAGCAATGGTGCACCGATTCATACTGAGTTCTGTATTTTGTATTTTGTTGTCCATTGTGTAATGATGAATTGAAAGAGCTCATATACTTGTTTGCAAGTTGTGTTGTTTAAAGGTAAAACTAGCTTTTGTTGCATATTTTAAATGTTTTGACACGGTATGTGCATTTTGCAAGCAAAATGTGTCATTTTGACCACGAGTGCTGCTGTTTAGGCATGTGTGTTAACTGTTTTGAAAATGTGGAGTTTCAGTTGACGCCTGCATCAAAGCAATCAAGAAAAACTGTAATACTGTGGTCAAAAGAGTCTTGCAGCTAACAGTGCAATACTTATTTTTCATTCCAAACGCACCAGCATAACAGCGCCATTGTAGTCCGGTGGTCAGCATGTTGCGTTATGATGCTGCTGATCCGAGTTCGAACCTCACCTCACTGATTATGATTATTATTATTATTTCATTTTTTGTGTTAAGACATACAATACTGTTTGGGTTACTTATGTAGGTGTACATATTTAATTTTTTTCACCGTTACAAAGGACTGGATATTTATAAAGAATTTTGCACACAATATATATATTTAGATTTTGCAGGAAAGGACATTGTGATGTTTTAAATAATAGTGTTGGAGATTTAGCTCCCCTTTAATCTTCTCATATTTATGACAAACATTTGAAGCTCTAAAGCAGCTGTTTCCTTGAAAAAGACTTGATAGTGTCATTAGAAACTGAATTGGAAATGACTTTATTTTAATATAAGCCCTTTTCACACAGTGATACCGGTAAATATATGGAAAATATCCGGAACGACTTTACCGGTAAATTCTAAAAAGTGCTGTTTACACAGGCGAGGACGTTACGGAATTTTTCCGGAAAAGACCGTTCACACATCCATTCCAAAATAGCGGTAAATTCTGACATCATTCACCACAAATGACCTCTAAGCGGCTGCGCTTTTATATGTAAACATTTGACTACATTACAAACTCTGAGGATGGATCAGTATTGTGAACAACTCCGATGAAAACATATAGAGAAACACTTTCGCATGTCGAGAGGTGTGTGTGCTGGCGCTCGCAGGCTATTTTACAGGCACACGCAAAGCTTGAAGGTAAACAAACAACGGCTTATTATAAGCATCTTATCGATAATTATATACACGGTTCGCATTAAAATGAATATATAAACGTTATCTGACTAATTTCTAGCAGCTAAATGTGTCTGGACAAATATTCAAAGGCTTTTGTTCTTATAAACCGCGCAGACGTGAACGCACCTGACTGTTCTGATTGGCTAAAGCAGACGTCTCACATCAGCACGTTCTAGACGTGCACGCGCTCTTTCCGGCAATCTTCATTCTGCGTTCACACAGCGCAGCATTCCAGCAAATTACCGGTAATGTTACAACTTCTCTTTCCGGAAAATAGCCAGAATGAATTTACCGTTATTTTCAAAAAGGGCCTGTTCAATTAAATTAAATTCAATTCAGCTTTATTTGTATAGCGCTTTTGCAATGTAGATTGTGTCAAAGCAGCTTCACATAAATGGTCATAGTAACTGGAACAGTGTAGTTCACTTTTTAGTGTTTAAGGTGTTCAGTTCAGTTCAGTTTAGCTCAGTTCAGTGTGATTTAAAATCATTACTGAGAGTTCAAACACTGGAGAGCAAATTCATCGAAGCGTAGCTCTACCAATCCTGAACCATGCGAGCCAGTGGCGACAGCGGAGAGGGAAAAAAAACTTCACCTGATAGGAGTGAAGAAAAAAAAACCTTGAGGGAAACCTTGAGAGAACCTTGTTCATATCATTGCTGGTAATTTTCCGGAAAGGTCTGTATGTGAGAAAGGGGCTATAGTCAAGTCGAGAACTGAGGTGGGCCGGTCTAAGACTTCAAACTCCAGGGCTCAAAAGGAGTCCCACTCCGGCCCTGACCACCATATTTCAAACTTGTGGGAAGCACTGTGTGCAAAATGTTTATATTAAAATGATTAATATTAACAGTTAATATTTTATGAAAACATGTTTTTGTTTGTTTTTTATCAATAGAAAGTTTAGGAGAAAACAAATGTATTAAATTTATTTGAAACAGAAATCTTCTTTTACTACAGTAACTATAGCCAATGCACGTTTACGGAAATAAAATTATTATTATTATTTTTCACTATCTAGGTAATAATTTTTAATAATACATTTAATGATGATAATAATAACCATATAATAGTAGCGTTATCATCTTGTGAACATCTAAAACATATTGGACAGATGTACTAATAATATCGTAAGGGTTTTATCGTCAAATCCAGAGAGGAAAGCCTCATTTACCTTCAACTGACCTTTAGCTCGCGGACACTGTAAGACGCTTTCACCTCGCTTTACCTCATCTGTGTGAGTGACTCTGACCACCTGACCTTTGCGCTGACTCTGGTCAATAAACTACATCTACGACTGTGACATTTGGCTCCTCGAAAGTCTGTTAACACTGATTT